AAGCACCAGGTCCTTAAATTGAGGGAGCCTGGCCTATAATTGCAAACCTCGAGCTGCTGTAAATAGGCCCAGCAATGCTCACAAATCTCTCATGCATTGGAGAAGAAAAGGAGAACCGAAGAAGTAACATTTCCAAGTGCCAATTCATCTTACATTAGCAAGGCTTAAGATGGATTGACTTTACCAATGAATAGGCAGTATCAGAACAGAATTTAATATCAACAGTGCACATTTGATCTGTAAGACAGGTGAGAAGTGGATTTCCTGCACCACACGACCTTAAAATCAGGAATCTCAGATCTGGGAAGGAGACGAGGTGGCTCTGCGAGCTCTTCCATTCAACACACTACAGTCAGAAGAGCACAGACACCTGAAGAGATGAGGAAAGGCAAAGAAAATACTGGGGTGCTGCTGGCAACCAGCTGAGCAACCTGACCAGAAATGCACATATTTTATTTGAGGAAGAATACTGAAATACTGGGGGGAGGGAAGGGGACACTCTGAGAAGGGCTACGAGTTACTGAACACTTTTAAAAGTCCCCTGTTGAGACAGGCACATATGAACGGAAAAATAAGGACTTACAGATTAAGTAAGACCTTGATAAATACACAGGAAAATAGAGTAAAGAAAATAACAGCTTCTGATAATTCAGGGAATTTGAGTCTGAGCTGGAAGTAAAGCAAAGCCAAACTTTTAACAGAGAAATTTTATGTTGCAACACAATCAGGCTGTCAAATCCGCTGCCACAGGAAGTCTCTGAAGCCAAGGGTTTTACTCAGATTCAAGCAGAAAGCAGTTATTTAAGCACAAAACAACGCTGAGGAAAAAATAACACAAACGGCTGAAGGAACCTTGAGTTTCACAGCCTGGGACACAACACCCTGAGAGATCACCAAGGTCAACTTGGCCATACAAGTGTTGGTCCCAACCCGACCCCACAGCAGCCAGCTGCAAATGCCAAGGGAAGAGCACGAGCAACAACCAAACCAAACCAAGCTGTGCCTTAAGAGAGCTGACTGCCAAGCACTGTTCAGCTGTCTTAGGGCTGGCATCTGCCAAGCACCTAACCCCAAAAAGTATCCGGCGCTGGCCAGCTCCCAAAGCACAAGGCACGCCTGACTTCGTCTCTGATGCTGTACGGTTTTCGTTTCTTCTCCCACCTGGCAATTTTATCGTTAAGAACAACAAATTTATTTGCAGAAACAGAAGTTCAGCCCAACGCTTGGAGTCAGTCCAGGCAGCGTGTCATCCCGACCCACGGGAACGTGTCTACCACGACCACGCCAAGTGATACGAGAATAAAGCCGGAACAGCACATCTCTCGCTGAAACAGCGGTCCCAGTGACAGTGAATTTCAGGAAACCCCCGTGGCACACTTAAATTAAGAAATGAGAGAACAGTTCTATGAACTCTCTGACACCCTTCCCTCAACTAAAAATAAATGAATCTACATTTCCAGATTTCTTGATAACATCGTGGCTATCTGTATATATGCACACCTGGTTGCTCCGACTTTGCAGCTGGCCCTGCTTCCAAGTTTGGACACGGTACGTGACTTCCAGAGACCCCTTTCAACCTAAATTGTTCTGTTTACATGTAAAACATTCCCCAGCACGACACAGCAATGCATTATAACCCTCATTATAACTAGGGATTGCAACTAGGATTCCCTTATAGGCAATTTATTATGCTTTTTGCATTGCTTTCACAAATCTGAGGTTCATTTCTTCACGTAGTTAACTGTTTCCTCCGCACCCGCTTCCACAGACCTTTACAAGCAGCAGCACAACAAACTCAAAGAAGGAAACGTGACGCTGAACGCTTCCAAAGCCTCTCCTTTTTGACCACTATTGAAGAGTTAGTGGTGGCCAGCTGTCCTTGGACAGGCAGGACGAGCAGCACTCCAGCATAGGTATCCCAAGAGCTTTGCTTCCTTCATAAAACAGAAAATAACGTTTTAAAAAAATAATAATAATAAAAAACCAAGCAGGGCTGCACTGTTCTGTGGGCAGAAGCAGTGACTGATCTGTGGCTGTTGCTGCTAACAAGCATCCCAGAAGCCCCACTCCACCCGCTGCCCAGCTCGGTGTGCAACCAGGAGCCACTCCGGTCCTGAAGCACCACGTAACCTCTGTCTCCTGGTGGGAATGTTACTTTGGGTCAACACTTGCCAAGAGTTTCACAAAAACTTGTCACTCTGCAGGCACTTAATGTCTTTCAGTTGCCCTTAAACTTGGTAGTGCCATCTGACAGACTAAAGGAGGCATTCAAACAGCAGAAGACCAACAAAGAAAATAGTTGCAGAGGTCTTGTGCCCTTAGAAAAGCCCAGCCAAAAATGTACGCAAACTCAGGTCCCGAATCTGCAGAGCATGCCATTTGTTACAGACACAACTCCCTCAAAGACCCCAAACCACCTGTGAATGTCATCACACTCACTCATGAGAGACCTGAGAAAAGGAAAATAAATGATACCTCATTCTTTCACAACGTTTCTACTACAAGGAGTAAGACACGATCTTAGAAAAGGCACGGGAAGAGAGCATACACACCTGGGGAGACCTGGGACAGAACTGATGTCCACTGCTTTCCAGTGACCCCTGCCAGCTACAACGGGAACAGCACTGCTCAGCTCCAGGAGCCGCCGCAGCCACCAACCTGCTCCCACACAGCCACCAAAGCCTCTTCACCTCGTCCACACGCTCCTCAAAGCACAGCAAGAACCTGTGTCTCGCTCTGAAGCTCTCCCAGAACCCACACCGCTATTTGGGCAGCCGTGGGTGCAGCTGGGCTGAACGTCGGGGCGAGATGAGCCAACTGCTTCGGGAGAACTGACTCGCCCGTCTCATTCCATGTAATGAGAGAGGAAAAACATCCTACTGCAAACACTGGATTCAACCAAGCAGGTTTCCAAATTCTGTTTCAGATGACTCAGAGTCTATTTTGCCCTTTCTAATATTTATACCCAGAACACAAACATACGTTGGCACCAAAACATAGCAACAGAAAATCCAACTGCATAAATGTTCCTCTTTAAAAGGGGATCAGGACCTTAAACGCACCGCTCCCAAGCGCTGCTCTCAACCTTCGCTGGCAGAAATGAAAATTGTTTGCGAATACTGTGCAGGAGAGCTCTGGGGGGAGAAAAAACCATCAGAAGTGACAGAAGTATGATGTGCGTACGTACACCAGCTCGTAAACACCTTACTAGAACAAAAATAAGGCTTCTCAGAAAAGGATTATCTTTCCCAGGGAATCACAAAGGAAGAGGCAAATCAAAGGAGATGGCTAAAACCTTCCAAGCTCCAGAAATAGCCAAATCCACAGAGCTATTTATAACCCAGAGCTTTACTCGCTAAATGCTTTTAGCCTCCAACCCCAGCAAAACAAAATCACCTCGCACCAAGCCGCACGCGACAGGAACGTGTCCTCCTGCCACCGAGCGACCGTCCTAACCACGGCCCAAGACACCGGGGCTGCCTGGCGAGGATTAGCAGGTTATTTCAAGCACTGCACTTCTCCCTGATAAAACAGACACTGCCAGCTGTTTATCAGCATCAACAGGAAGATGTAAGTGGGCAAATTACCGATGACACACACCATTCCTATTAGAGACGTGGTGCGCCCAAACCCCGGCACGAGCTGCGTTTGCTGCGGGGCCGTTTCATCGGGAAGAATGTCACAACTTTAATTAACGCCCTTGCAACAAGTCGGGTTTTCCAATTAATTACTTTCTTCGGTTAATTATGTCGCAGATGGGCAAGACGCTGGCAGATTTGGAACGAAACAAGGTGGTGGCATGGCTTCTCAAGCGACCAGCGGTGTGTAAAGGCTGTAAAGGATGGAGGGACGAGCACAGGGCTTAAGGCTGAGGGCTCTGAGTGTTGCTTCACCTGATGCACTGGAGCTGTGCACGCTCGGGGTGTGCGCAGGGCAAAAGCAGCCAACACCTGGAGGGCTCTGCTACCTGTAACCATCCCCCCCAGCGCTCTCGCCTTTGTTTCTCACAGGAAAAAAAAATATTAATAAATAAATAAATAGCAAGTGAAGAACTTAGCAGGAAACAACACGACGGAGGGAAACGCTGAGGCACAGCCCGGGCGTTGGGCTCCCAGGTAAAGGCGGGCACGGCGTGAGGGGCGGGGGGAATAAAAGGGTAATAAAAAGGGCAGGGGGGGAGAGGGAAGGGGCCGAAAGGCAGCCGAGGGGAGGGGTGCTGGGATGGAGGGGCCGGAATTGAGGGGCTGAGGGGGGGCGAGGGGCTGAGGGGGCTGAGCCCGCCCTCCCCCCCCCACCGCCACCCTCCCCTCACGGCCGGGCCGGGCCGGGGGAGGCCGCGGGCCTCAACCCACCGCCGCCGTGCGGGCCCCCGCTGAGGGGCCACGGGGTCGGGCCCTTCCCCAGCCCCTTTCCCCATCCCACCCCGGTCCCATCACGGCCCCCCCGGGCGAAGGAGGCGGCCGCGGCTCCCCCCTGAGGCTGAGGGGATTTGGGGGGGGGGGGGGGGTCCCGAGCTTACCGCCTGCCCGGCGCCGCGCCTCGGCACCGCTCGGCTCCGTTCGGCTCCGCTCGGGTCCGCTCGGCTCCCTTCGGGTCCGTTCGGCTCCGTCCGGCACCGCTCGGGTCCGGTTCGGGTCCGCTCGGCTCCGCCAACGGCAGCGCGGGGAGCGCGAGACTGAGAGGAGGCAACAGCTGTGGGGGGCGGGGGGGAGCGAGGCGCGCGCCGCGGAGGGGGCGGGGCCGCGGCACCTCAGCCGTGCAGTCCCCGCCCACTCCGGGGGGAGTGAGTGGCGGCGGTGCTGTCCAATCAGAAAAGGGGGTGGGTGGGGTTGTGGTTGATGGGCGGTTCGTAATGGTGTGGGGTGATAGGCAGGGGAAAAGACGAATGGGCGGTGAGGAGGAGGGAGTGGGGCGGGATGAAAGGAGAGGCGCAGCCAACCGCGAGCGGGCAGCGCCGCCGTGACGGGCCTGTCCGCAAACAGAGTGGCGGGAGGCGGGCTCTATGTCGAGCGGTCCAATGACAGCGCGGGGAGGCGTGATGAGCGTGCGCGCTGCCCAATGGCGGGGCGGGACGCTGCGCGGAGCTGCGTGCGGCCTGCGGGGCCCGGCCGGGACGGGACGGGTCGGGCTGCGACGGGCCCTGCCCCTGCGGTAGGTGCCGAGGGGACCCCGGGGCGGGGGCGCGCCCTGTGAGGGGTCTGAGGGGAGAGGCGGGAAACGGGGGAAATAAGGGAAAATAGAAGAAAATAGCGAAAAATAGTGGGGAAACGGGGGAAGTACGGGGGAAATGAGGGAAAATAGAGGGGTATATGGGGGAAAATAGAGGGGTAAAGGGGAAAATAGGAGGGAAGTAGGGGGGAAATGGGGAAAATAGGGGGAAGAATGAGGGAAATTGGGGAAAAAGGGGGAAATAAGGGCAGAGATGAGGAAGAATAGAGGAAACATGAGGAAAATAGGAGAGGAAGTGGGGAAAATAGAGAGAAAAGGGGAAAATAGATGGATAAAGTGGAGAAGTAGGGAAAAATAGGGGGAAAAAGAGGGGAAATAGGGATAATAGAGGGGGAAAAGGGGAAAGTAAAGGGAAAGTAAGGAAAGTAGGGGAGAAAAGAGGGAGATGGGAGAAAATAGGGTGGAAAACAAAAGAGAAATTGGGAAATAAGAGGGAAAATGGGGCCCAGCCGAGCAGCAGAAGGGCTCTGAGGGCCCCCGGGGCCGTTCCCGGGTTCGGTTCCCCTGCAGACCACTCAGTGCATCCCGTAATTAACCTGCAGCGCTGTGTAATTGGGCTCCCCCCTCCTGAAGTTAGTCAAGCACCAGGCAAGGCTTATGTTTAAGCTTGTCAGTCAGCTGTTACTGTAGGGCTGAGCACTTGGTTAGCTCCTCTGCTTTGTTTTTCCCTTCTGAAGGGGCTCTAATTAGCTCCTGGGGCATTCTGGTTATCTGGAGCATCCCGCCGAGGTCGGTAACGGTGCTGGGGCCGTGCTCCTCATTACTGATAAAACTCCACTTGCTGCTAATTACAGGAGGCCTGTAAGGAGCTGACAGCTTTTTTAGTTCTGCACCCTGCCTTTGACATTGCTTCTTCACAGAAGAACTGGTTCAGGCTTGTACCAAATTTGCATCCCTCTCCCAACGCGAATGGCTTCTTGGGATGGCTGCCTCCAGCTGGGAGCCCGCACATCCCCTTCTGCTTGGCCAGCAAAACGTGGTCAAGTGCTCTGTGTGATCAGACCTTCATCTCTACGCCAGCTGCATCCCCAGCTGTCAGTTTGTAGTTTTCTAGCTTCCTGTACTTGGGGTACAGGGCTATAAGACCTCAAAAGTACCCTTGGATTTTTTGAGTTTGCATCCTCAAAATGTAAAATCAAATGGAGCTTTGCAGTTCCTGTCGCATTGAGCAGGTACGTCTCCTGATTAGGTCAGGGAAAGGCAATATAACATCCCCTGCTGAGGTTTTTGTCTGTGCTTTTTAAAGTTGTGTTATTAAGTGTTCTGAACAACTAAGAAAATTGAAAATCCTCTCATGAAGTGAGCAACCTTCAAATTGAGTAGCCCCATCTAATACACCGTCAGTAGCTTTCATTTTTCCCCAGAGACAGCTGATAGCCCCTTCTTTGAGTGTCGATCACCTGATACTTCTGAGAGTGTTGAATTCTTTCCAGGCACAAGTTTCCAGCCTGTTTCTTTGGTTTCTCCTTTCTCCAGTTTGCTAATGAGAGATTCTCCTTCATGTACTATCTGTAGCAATGATTGCTAGAACTTTTTCTGGAACGTTTTGATGAAAGGATTGCTGAAACAGATTCAGGTCACTGCTGTCTTTACTGTAGCCACAGACTTTTACTCCAGGATACTGGAAATGTTACCAAAGTGCAGGAAATGCTTAAAGCGGGTCATAGTAATTGTTCTGTAATCCTCTCTGCCAGCTGTTTTAGGTGTGTTCCTACGGTGAGAAAAGAGCAACGCTATCTAAACTTCCTTCTAATTTTTCAGCTTAATAGCAATTAACTCCTGTGCAAAGGTCACTGCTCAGCTCCACCCCTCCAATGAGGATGGGGTCTCAGTTCCACCTCTCCAGTAACTGCCTTTCCTCAGACCTTGTGGCAATCCAAGCAGAACAGAGACACTGAAAAGTAAACTGCACAAATACCAAACTTCTTTTTTATTCTAGTTCAGCTCAAGGAACTGGCCTGAGTTGGGGTCACCTAGGTGCCAGAGGGAGGAGATGCGCTTACAGCAACCCCAGCTTTGGTTAGTTTAGGCTTGGCTGGATCTCTGCAATAAGAGAAATCCCACTGCTTTTTTCAAAATCTAATCTGACCCAGCCTGAACAAAACAGTAGGGCTGTTGAGCTGTGTATCAAGAGGCAGGTTGCAGCTGTGGGGTGGTGTTAGAGGTGCACAGATCTGTTATCCCCCAGCGGCACCTCCTAACCAGCTGAGCCAGCAGCAGACGCTTCCCTGCATCTGGTTGTGATGTTTGAGTACAAGCCAGGTTCAATGTGCTAATCTGGGGGAAAAAATCCTAATCAAGTTAAAAAGAAAACACTGCTAACAGTTTTCTGCCTGATCAGGAAGTTGAATAGGCATCATCATGTGGGGTTGCTGATGCTCGCAACGGAGAAGGCAGGAGGCAGGGCTGGTCCAGCCCTTCTGGCAGCCCGTGACAGTCGGGCACTGCAAGCAAGCTGCTCTTCTGAAGTGACCTAAATACTTTGTCCTCTGGAACCAGTCAAAGTTCAGGTTCTTATTCAAGTGGAACTATAGGAGTGGTGTTCTAGAATTAATTTTTATCAAACTTGTGAAAAAAAAAAACTCAAGTGTTTAAAATAGTTGTTGAAGGCACCTGTTTTAGTGCTGTGTCACTGCCATGCAATTGCCCATCTTTGTAGCAATTAATAAGATCACAGTTCTTCCTGCGTTAAAGTTGGTACTTAAAGCTTGTAGCAGAATCCTTCTGGCAGACGCGATCGTCAGTGTCTTTCATTTAGGCATGTAAAAACTTTTATGACTGTAATGGCAGATAGATACTTGTGTCTGTTTTTCTTCTGTCATGACTACATCGAAATTTAAATGCGCTACCAAGCCACTAAGATGATTTGGCTGAAGCAGAATCAGTCAGTGTCTGCACACTTGAGATACTTGCCAAAAAAGCAAATGTTATCCTGAATTTTTAGTATTTTAAGGCTGTTGTTGAATAGTAGGTTGTAGTTAGTAGTGCTTTCTGGCTCAGTTTCAGACCGGGTCACTTCAGCTGTAGACATTAGGGTCTTTCAGATAGTTTGTTACTTGTACTTGTTAGCTGGCTTGTACATTAGTGTGATTATTTATTATGGACGGGGAAGTGCTAGCTTGACTTTCAAGTATTAACTATGAGTAATGGAGGAAAATAGATCTGAACAAATTCTCAGAATACAAAAATCCCTAAATGAGTTTGACAGCTAGTTTGGGTTCCAAGCATCACTTGTTCCAAACGGAGTGGGGGGTTCTGCAGCTGCCTGAGGGCACTCGATGTTGATGGTGGGTGGAACCAGCACAGGGGAATGGGAGTTAAGCAAGAAATGCTAGGACACAGAGCATGTAGCTAATGTGGAAGGGGTGGGAAGGCAAGAAATTGGCCAGCTTTACAGATTATGCCTCATGGTTGATACTGTGACATCTTCTGATGCCTGCCCCCCTGTTTTTTGGTGTTCTTAGGTTGTTGCTGACCACAGGAAGACTTCCTCTCAAAGCTGTTTAAATGAGAATGTCCCTGGCGCAAAGAGTACTACTGACATGGCTTTTTACGTTGCTCTTCCTGATCATGCTGGTGCTGAAGTTGGATGAGAAAGCACCGTGGAACTGGTTCCTCATTTTCATTCCAGTCTGGATATTTGATACTATCCTCCTGGTTATGTTAATTGTAAAAATGGCCGGCCGCTGCAAGTCTGGCTTTGACCCTCGCAACGGCTCGCAGAACATCAAGAAAAAAGCCTGGTACCTCATCGCAATGCTGCTCAAGTTAGCCTTCTGCCTTGCCCTCTGCGCTAAACTGCAGCAATTCACCACGATGAAACTAGCCTATGTATTTATCCCCTTGTGGGCCTTGCTTATTGGGGGTATGGTCGAACTTGGATATAATATCTTCTATGTACGAAGAGACTAAGCTGTATGGGGTGTTCAGCCCTGAGACTGGTACCGAACTGCTGGATTATTAGCTCTGCCACAAATGTGATCTCTAGAACAGCACATAAGGAAATGCTCTGGAGACTTCATCTAAACGAGGCTGGAGACCAAAAGTAGACTTGTTCTTTTTTTTTTTTTATTTTAAAATGGTCATACATGCTCTTGTAAATAAAAGTATTTGTTCAACATTAGGTGTTCTAATAAGGTGGTTTTGTTACACAGAATAAAACTTAACCTCTTCACATGCAGGTGGATCTCAAAAGGAACCGCAGCTGTTCCAGCCCAGAGCAGGCAGCATGTAGCACTTCCTTACACGGATTACCCTCAGTTTTCTTATTTATGCTGTCATCAAGAAATAACCAGGTAAGGCTGCTTTCTATGATGTGCTAAATTTTCTGTAAGAATCAGTAACAACTGAAAGCTACCACCAAGAGCAAAAAAGGTATAAAGTGACACAGCATCTTCTTTTTGATGGTGAAAATCCTCTTCCAGTGCAGAAAGTTGTGTTTTTTTAACTGCTGCCACATAGGCAAACAGTACATTTACCTAGAGAAAATAGTAACTGAACCATGCCAGCAAGTTTATATTCAGAGGGGAAAAAAGGGAGCACAGTGATTATGATTGACTTTCCAAGTGAAAAGTTGTCACTTTTCTAAGAGACTGAAGCTGCTGGGTGGGTCCTGTAATGTGTTCGTGCCAGCAAAAGTGGTGCTTTAACAAGAAAGATGGGTTTTAGTGCTGTAGTGTGTTAAGGCCCTGGAGGTAAAGCCTTGGCTTTTTGGAGCAAACGGACTTGATCAAGTAACAAGTGCAACAAAAGGAATTTTTGGGAAGAGCTGGAACGAGAAGCCTGTTTGGGGGCTGCAAGTGCTCTCCTGGGAGTCAGGATAGCAAGTTCTAACATCTAGGGCATAATGAACACGCCTGCTGAAAATAGGGATTCATTTACATTTCCTGTGTGTAACGCAAAGAGCCAGGGAAAAACTGCCGATGGTAACAGGAACTGACTAGATCAAAGCGTCTTGTTCATAAAATTTTAATTAGCTGCACTCAGCTGGAGCTGTCCTTTATAAAGGAAAGGTCCTTGACTGTAGATTTTTTGCTTACTCTTCAATCACACAGACAGACATAAAAACATAGGAAGCAGCTGTCAGAGACCACTGAAGCGACTTTGAGGAAAGCCTGTTCCAGACTAAGGTAAGGGATCTTGATTTAGAACTTCAGGTACCAAATGGTTTTTAGAAAGGACCTAACTTGAGGCTGCTGCAGTGTGGTTGTCTGTCCTGCCTTGCTAACAGGGAAACCAAGGGATGACAAAGAAAAAAACAACTCTAATCCTTAGCTGTTAAAAGAGCTGTAAAAAGTCGCAAAGTACCTACAATAAAATCAACACCAACTTCTGCTAAGCAAATCTCTGTGCTCAGTCCCAGTTTACAAGCATCACAATTTACAGGGAGATGAAATTTTACAGGGAGATAAAATGAATTCTTCCTTCAAATAGAAGAATAGAAAAAAAAATCACTTTCAGTCTTTAGTAGCAACATTTCTTTGTGGGAGGCAGATCTGGGCGCTGCTTAGCTCTGAGAAACCTTCAGCAGTTGCTATGTGTTTGGTATCAACGCTCGCCCACCGAAGAACAGGCTTCCTGTGTCATCTTTGTTAACTTTAAGCTAAACCAGCACCTGGGAGTAGGATCAGCTGGGGGCACTGGGGAGGAGGAAGGGCATTCACCCCGGTGCAAGGTCTTGGGCCTGGTAGCTATAGGAAATGAGAGAAAAGCATATGTAAACACACAGCCGTGCACTTACATTAGATGTGGGGCATAGAGAATATCTTTGATCTGTACACCAAACCCAGCCCTCCTCCACCATACGTCCCGCGGCTGGCAAGCTGCACTTCCTGTGAGATGTTCACTGGGTGCCTGAACAGATGATGGAGAAGTGAAAGGGTTGCGAAGACCCCCTCTGCTCAAGGCTAACTCCTCTTTACCACTTCACAAGCGCTGCTGCAAACACGAAACAAGCATCTTGGCTAATGTGAGGTGGGCTTAGGCCTGAGTAAGGCTTCATTGGAGAGGGGGTCAGAATGACAAGGGCCTTGCTTATGGTGATTTGTCATGGCACAGCACCAAGCATGAAACTGAGCACCTATGGTCTTTCCACAACTGAGGAATACCACAGAATATGCAAAAAAAAAAAAAAAAAAAAAAAAGCCTTGTTGACGTGATGCCAAAAACCACCCATGCTGCTCAGAAGAGTAGGACAGCCTTCCTCACTCAAAGCGAGGAAGGAATTAACAAATTGTGGTAACTTTGCTGATAGGAGAATAAGAACTAGCCTCTTTAGGACTTCACTGCATATTAGCAAGGTGAGCAGCAAATAGCAACTGTGCCCCCTTTAATAGATCACCTATTTCACAGCTGCAACTCTTATCTGGAAGTTCAGCAGCTCCAGTTCACTAGAACTGAAGATGGTTGTTCTAATTTAAGTAGTTAGTTGTTCCTTATCACTGCTGCCTCTCATTCAACAGAAAAGGATTAACAATTTCAGTGTTGGTTTGTATGATGGTTTTGGTTTTGGTGGGGAGGTGGCTTTAGGGTTTGGGTTTTTTTGAAAAAAAAAAAAAAGTTTTACTTAAAGACCTTGAAATAAACTACTGTGCTGAAGCAGCGGTTTCTTTCTGGTGTCCTACACAAGATAATCTCACTTATCAGAAGATGTTCTTAGGATGCAGCCACTTGGAAGCACTGAACTTGCCCAGTTCTTACAGATACTTCGGTAAGAGGAATATCCCTTTTGATTTGGTGTGTCCCATCAGTTTTAACCTTGACTTAAAACTGCTGCTGTGACACCTTGGTACAATCACTTCTTCTCTTTTGTGATATCAGAACCCCATTCAGAAAGATTTGACAGACTTCACTGTAGTCCACTGTGATCTTTTCAGAAGCTGTTGCAGAAGTTGCAGCTACTCACAATTACCACATTCTCCAAGGCACTGTTTACAGTTGTGAAGCAGAATGAGTACTTCTCACGCTTTTTCTTAAATTTACATCCCATCATTAAATGAAACCAAAAAAAAAAAAAAGGTTTGATAGTGTCAGGAAAAGGGAAAGCTGATGCTGAGCTGGCTTGCACCGATTTGCCAGAAGCAGTCTCCAGGAGGAAGTCACTACCCACTGACCTCATGCACATGAGAACACCTTTTTTCTCAGTTATCCACCTCACACTTGACATGGGGTGTGGAGGAGAGAGCTTTGCCATCTACCAACTTGTTAAGACAAGTGAAAAGCTTGTTCTTACAAAATGAAACAAAATATTTATCGTATGCTGATGATAAATATATATTATCTGTATAATATATATATTGATGGCATATATATGGTGATACACATTCTACATCATTTATTTCTGTTCAAATCATTCATACAAGCTTGAACACTTTGGCATGCACTGTAGATGAGCATCTACTTTTGTCTGATCCAGGAAAATAAATACTCAATGCACATGGGTAAGAGGTCATGAAACTAAGTTTTTCAATTATTTATATTGCTTTTCTTGACTCGTCACCATCTCAGGAGTATGAAGTCTTCTGTTCTTGAAAGATACAGCTGTGTGACAGACATCCCAAACTAACTAAAAATGCCTTAAGAATCTGCATACATGCATTCAGTGTGCTGGTAGGCATGGACAACAATATTCAGAAATAAGATAGCACAGGACTGTTACAGAATCACTCAAGAGATGAAAACAGTACTATTGCTGACAAATACGCAGAGTAATACAGAAGCAGAACTTAAGAGTAACTTCATGGAAATTTTCACATTTGCCCGATATAAAAGTTGGGGTAAAGATTTCTGTTAAAAACTGGGGGTACAAATGGATTTATCAACGTGAGATTTTAATACTCCCACCAACCTGGAATTCTAACAACGTTAGGTAGTATCTATTTTAACACCACTACAGTTTGAGAACAAGTAACATTGCTTTTCAGTAGTAAAGCTCCCAAATAACTTGCATCTCCAGAACTATATCCTTTATATTTATTGGCATGGAAAGCTGAGACACTTTATTTTGTTTTAAACTAAGTTAGAGATCAAAATAACCACACAATATCTGCACTGAGTTAGAAAAAAACAAGTCTGTACCATTTATTGTACCTGTATCATCTGAAGTTTTGGATGGAGTTAGTCTCACACAGGAGCCCTGTACACCTAGAAGGGGTCAGGCTATCACCCAATGATGAAAAGCATTGATCTTGGTGGATTAAGGCAACTTAAGGAACCACTGCAATTGGACACTGCAATATTATTCAATATTAATATATTATCCTTGTACTGAAGTTGGATAAAGAGCAGACAAAAACAGAACACAGCAATGCTGTTTCCTTCAGCCTGCCTTTCCCAACAAACCAACATCACAACCGAATGGCAAATGTAAGAAAACCCTTTTCATTTAGAGTGAAACAACAGCAGAAGAGCCAGAAACAATCATAAATGAGATGTTCTAGTCCTTTGGTACATGGAAACTTCAATCTGATGGCTGACTGAAGGTGACTATGTCAAAATAGGCCATAGCTTTAGCAATGCTGCTTCATGTGGCATTAATTTTCCACACCTGCATCTAATTTGCAAGGTTTTCTTCTTCTTGAGACACTCACTATGGGATACCTTTCTCAGCTAACTGCCCCATTTTGTCCAAACGCAACCAGATTCAAACAAACTGCCACAAAAAGCAGTCTTTATAACACCAGTCTAAACTCTACGAACCATCACATTTTCATTCAGGTGGACTGGAAGTTAATTGGTAAAAGTGAACATATCAAAATAGCTACTGAAAAATAAAACTTGATAAAAATAGAAGCTTTATCTGCTGTTTTAATTGATGTTTGTATCAGGATATAACTGTACACCAAATATTAAAGGACTATTTCGGACTAATGACCTCAGCAGCAGGCTAATCTATCAGCATGACCAGAACACAAGACAACCAGTGTTTACCTGGCACTTCAATACAGCACAGCGCTAAAGCAGAAGAAATATTAGCATCATATTACAGAGCAAAAACAGTGGCCAGAAACTAGTACACGAGGTTTGCAGAGTCCATATCCCTGATGAATAATAGGAACAGCAACCTAGCTACTGTGAAGTCAATCACAGCTTCTGAGTGAGAAGCTGCACACACAACACAGAGCTGTTTGTATTTCTAAGGAAAATGAAATTAGTGAGTCAAAGTTGCCCAGATTTTCTCACGTACGCTGCAAAATCAGTGGGATCTGCACAAAATATCAGTATCACCTATTACAGAGCTTTTAAAGTGCTTTTTGTCCACCTAAATTAGCATTAGTTTAACAAACAAGTAGTAACAGGGACTCACAATCAACTTCAACAGTGCCATTCACAGCAAACTACAAATAAATGAAAATTTGTCCTTCCCATTTCTAGCTTGGACACATTCACAAATGTTAGCAAAAAGGCGCTGGTTTGCCTAAAGACGAGGTTCTCTAAGGATGTGAGCACAAGAAAATGAATGAAATTACACTGGAGAGCCTGCTTGTATCATTTGGTCAGAATGAATACGGCTTTCATCCTGCTAGGGTCAGATGGTAATCTACCACCCCGCTACAGTTTATTTTGCCAATGAGCATAAAGAAAACATGGATCTTTCAGTCAATTCAGCACCCTTATTCACATGCAGATATTAGAAAATAGTCACTTTTCAACAAAGAATGTTTTTCCTGTATTTCTTGGAAGACTCATTCAGTTTTCCAAGTTTGTACTTTTCTGCTGATCCGTTTCACAGCATTCATTTTTTTCCCCATTTCCTATATTATTTGCAACACCAACTTATTTACTGTGCACGTATATTTGCTTAAAAATCAATTTTATTTATCACCAAGAAACTCTTTCACAGATGAATACTTAAATCACCCTCTGAAATAATACTTTATTTCTAATACTAGATAGAATTAATATTTCCATTAAAGATGTATTGAAATATTCACTATAGTAACAAGGAAGGGCAAAATCTGCATGCCAGCAGTACCTGTAATGAAAATGCTGTTTCAGAGTCAATTTGCAGACATTTGGAGGGCTGGAGGATGACAACACCAAGTAACACTTGTATGTAACACATGAAGTCAGTTGCCAGAGAAATGCAAAAGCTCCAGTAATTAAAAGAGGAAAATAAAGTAGCTACCACCTTGAAAGCTATTGGTAGTAACAATGCAGTTCTTTGCTGCCCACAGGTATGGCACCAGCATTTAGGAAAGCATTTCTGGAGTTGTGCACATCGTGTCATGAGCTGGAACACCACTGCAGCACAGGCAATAAGCTTTCAGCAGATTTCTCCAATCTGCAGAAGAACAAGGGCCAAAAGAGGTAAGTGAACCACTGGAGATTTCAGCCGAAGTACCAGCTAACGGGAAGATTTATACACAGCTGAAATCCAGGAGGGGGAAAAAGCAACAAGCAAAGACTAGTTTCAGTACATCAGAAGGCATGAAAGATTTATTGCTGAAGCCCAAGTCTGAATATAAAGCTGTGTGCAGCAGGGAGGGAGGTTATCGCACGGGAGCACTTGAGAGCAAAGACTTTTGGCAGACTAATGAACAATTTGTGAGCTGAACATCTCTGAAGAGGTGCTCCCTCCTAAAGAGGGACCGCCTCAAAATGAATACACCATGGGTAGAGGACAAAAATTGTGTTGTTTTTTTAAAGCAAACCAAGAAGCACATGCTCATATTGCCAGTCAGCCCAGACTATCTGCAGCCTGGAATACAAAGGGAGTTTTGACAGCCATTGGTGATGTTGGAATTATTCATATCCTGTCTACAAGGAATTGTGTCTAGAAACCAGAATCTAGTTTGTCTCAAAAATAAAGCATAAAAATTGTAAGAGCTGCTCCTTGTCTCTCTTAAAATTCTGAAAGTGATGCAAAAAAAAGAAAAAAAGAAAAAAATGGTTGAAGATGCAATGCAGGCAGCTGAAGCAAGTTTTCAGAACCAAGACATACCTGGGCAGAAGTTCAAGGCTGTCTCAGCCAAGACCACTGAGCAGGTTGTCAAATGGAAATTAAATTTTATGTGAAAAGTCATATTTGCTAAGCCATTTTCAAAGGCATTTCTTCAGTCTAGACAGCACCTATGATGCAGAAAGTGGTCTGCCATCAAGTGGGATGTATACATTTTACTAAAACCTGAAAAAAATACTTGGACCAGAATGAATAATGAGCAGATGGATCACCAGCATACTTTTTTCCCCCTCTAAGTCCATTTGTGTGTAAAAGCTTAAAAAAAAAATCAGGATCTATGAAGGCTGGTTTTCAAAAAGCTGCAGCTTCCTACTAACAGATTGAAAAAGCTGCACACTTGCTGAGAATGACTGCCTGCAGCTCTTCCCTGCTCTCACCAGCAGGCACAACAAAAGGGAACAGAAGGCTACATAACCATACGTGTGCTCACAAAGCCAAGGGGATTGTGGTGGCAATTCCCTGATAGTCCAGGGAACACGGTGGGAGCTGAGACCACGTTTCTATCAGGAAGGCTCAAACCCTTCCATGAAACAATTAGTTTTTCACATCTGCACAGGTTGGAGCAGGAACTTACCATGTCACACATGAACCATTTTGCTTGCTCATGGAGCGAGGGGAAAGCAAGATCCCTGAGGCTGCAGAACTGGCAGTAACCTCTTCACCAGCATTACTGACAATAGCAGTAGGATTTAGCCACATTCAAGAGATTTGTTTCTATTGCTTCTCTAATACATAATTATGGCTATGTAGGAGTCATGTTTAGCAATTCAAAAGTTGATTTAATTAATAATTCCTCAACAGACCTATCTTCCATTTAAACACAACAGGGCACACATCAGTTCAATGGCTGATTTTAGGCAGAAGTACAAAGTAACAATCTGAATTTTAACAACCTAGGAACAAGAAACATTTGCAACAAAAAGGGCCTTGAAGTTGAACTAGACATCACCTGGGGAAAAAAAAAAATCACATTGTTCTATTGCTACAATGGAAGCCAGAGTGATCACCAAGTGTATCAGATATTGACAATTAGGATGTAAGGATGTACAACTTTGAGAAAGGTGTAGGGAAAAAATCCCCCCCAAAATGGAGACAGAGGGCTTTAGAAACACCAGGCTTATGCTTTTAAGTTTAAATACTATGTTGAAGGACAGGCTGCAGGGCAGTTTGCTGCTGTTTGTAGCTACCTGAAAAAGAAATATCGTTCAGATGTGTTTGAACTATACAATAATATGTTACACACAATTAAATAAGTTAAATTACAGAGTGTTTGCCATTACCACGTCAGATGCTAGCTAGCCTTGAAATCCTCTTCCCTCAGAACACGGCCTAGGAGAACTGTGGAGGTCCACAGGAACAGAGAGAGGTGAACACTTAACTCCATCACCGCTATCATTCCCCTGATGAAACAACTCTTCCTAACTGGGACTCACAAGGGATCTTCCTACCAGACCACTGCCTTGCACTATCAGCACACAGAACAGTTCAAATCCAAATTTGCCTCAGTGAATTTCAGGTCACTGCTCGAGTTGAGGCTGTTGTAACCATCTAAAAACATTCTTTGACCTAATTTAGTCAGGTAACTCACCAGCAGGTGGAAACTGCTAGACTCGTTTGTTTTGTTGTTGTTGTTTTTTTTTTTTAATGTGAAATGGAACTTTCTTAATCATGGCTTGTGCAGGGGGAGGAGGTAAGCATGAAAAGGAGTTTGCCACCTCGCCCCAGCTCAGAGAGATGCCAGCAGTTGCAGGCAGCACTCCTGGAATCCCCGGTACCCAACCGTACTCCCTGACGTGGGAAGGCTGCGGGTAGCACTTGCCTCTGTTCCACATTACCATCTGGTGACAGTAGTCTGGGGAGTGCCTTCAAAGGTCAGCTGTAAGAAACCCTGTGAAGGGAGGACTGATTCTGCATCCTGACTAATCTTGGTTTACAAAGAATGCCTCAACTCTACCTCTGGCTGCTACAGCTCCTCACGCCACAACGGGGTAAGGGCATCCTATGCTTCAGTGCAGGTAGAAGCAAAACCATTTAGAGAGGCAGTTTAACTGAATTATTTTTTGCAGATCCAAAAATAAAACCAATCTGTTATTATGAACCTTTATTAAGCGGCTCACATTTCAGTATAAATCACACTAAAAAGATCTTTAAAAAAGATATTTACACTACAGTGCTGACACATTTAAAATGAAAAAATTGGTATAAATAAGCTCTATGGAAAAGCCTGGAATTGTCAAAAACAACTCTGGCTCATCTTACAAAAAATATATATGTTAAATGTCAGCTCTACTCTAAAACCTACAACTCAAAATTTTTTAAAGACTTCTTTATGTTAAACCTGCAGTGTTTACAGTGCATCTGGCCCTAAGTGCTTTGATACTTCACAGTTATGGACAGGCACTGAGGAATGTTACAAAGCTACATAACTATTTTCTGTAACAGATGCGAAGGCAAGTCACAAACTTGCCCCACAGAATTTATGAATCTTTACATTATTACATCATTAAGTTTAAAAAGGAATTTAAAACAATATATACAAATTTAGCACAAAAAATCATCTTCTCTTTGTCCGTGCAGTTTTGGATATGATGAACTATGCTGTCTTGTATCATCCGGGTGTATGTGGCTTCCAGGGCATAACTTGCCTTGTAAGTCCTTGTTGGCAGGCTCAAATTTGGAATCCATTTCAAACTTAAACGTCGCCAATTCAATCCGATCCAATCCAGTCTGCACAGCCTGGCCCCTGATGTCATTAGGTGCCACCGTCTTTTCAGCAAGATCGACATTCATGGATTCTTCTTTTATTCGGTGAGATGCAATAGGTTCGTGTTTTATCGGCATAAATTCCTGCTGCAGACACTTGGTCTGCAGAGCATCTGAGAGTTTGGTGTCTTCGGAGGTATTTTTGCTGATCATACAAATTCTGCTGTCAGTCTGAAGTCCGATAACCGAAGACTTGGGGTCTGCAGAGGTCCCTGCTTCAAGAGTACTTGAATTTTGAGAGAGTTCTTCCTCCGAATGGTACAGCTTGAGCCGGATGTGCCAAGCCAAACTGCACACAGCCGAAACTGTTTTGAACTGGTGCACAACATTCCTTGGGATAAAATAAATGTCATTGTCAAATAACTGAATTCTGGCATATCGAATGCCTTCCCTTCTCAGCTGATTAAGTTTTGCGTCATCAACCCACTGGACACACTGGAGGAAAAAGGAAAAAAGGATGAAAACTTTGTTTTATAACTTACAAAGGACACCCACTTAGCTGTTCACAGCATGCTTACCTGTGAGAGCGGAGGCTCATGCAAGTCTAATTGCATTCGCTGAACTACCTCTAAGAAGTCCTCAGCATGAAAACAAATTACATCTTTGGTTATACGAGGCTGCTCAGACCTACATAAAAGTAAGAGTTGCACAGTCAGAAGCTGAAACTAACGAGCTTGCAGATTTTCTTTATTCCCTGTAGCAGAGATAAAGCAAACGAACTAAAAATAAACTCGGCAATTCTATCATAACATATATTTTGGAGAAGAAAGGCTGACTAAAATAGCTAGTTCTCAATCATGAGCTTGTTATACTGATTAAATAAGTTAACAACAATTTCACGTTTATTTTTCGTTTTTTACACAAGTGGCAGTAAACGGAGCCACGAACAGTCAGAGCTCAATACTCTGAGCTGACCTCAGCCTGCCTTGCTGCTGACAGATGCTGGACTTACTGTCAGCACTCATCAATGGGGAATACACATCTGCTGCCTCCAAGGACACCATCATACTCGTCAGAGCGCTGCTAACATTGCTTAGTATCTTAGTCTCAGACGTAATAGATCCGATTCTACATTAATCTGCCATGATGTTAATAAGCGGCAAATGCTGGGCTGGCATCTGCCACAATATCCCCTAAAAAACAACACTAGTACTTGTGATCACCAGAGAGCTATAAAAGAGCAAAACCTAAACTACGGTTTGTCTCAGTATTCAAATGGAGATAAGAATTCACTTCTTGTCCCACAATATCCCCCTGAAATATTCACTATTTATATCAGAATGCTTCTAGAGGAATTCTCCTGAATCAGTCAGTTAACAAAATGCAAAGGTAGCCACAACCCCTACCGCCTTCTGATCTAAATGCCATACTCCGTTCTTCCACAGGCACACAGAAGATGAAGCTTTGCATGTGTTTGAGGGATGGGGGTTATTTTGTTGGTTTGTTTCCATTTAAAAATCCACGGATAAGACTCCATTTACACAGGACAAAGCTCTTGTTGGAGTTTATAGGTGCATGCTGAAAAGCCAAGTGTTTTTGCAAGGATGGCTTAGCAGCCACTAAGAGCCTGGGTTGTGGCTTTCTCCCTTCTTCCTCCCCAGGGAGGACAAGCACACCATGACCTGTGTGGCTGCTGCACAGGGACATGCAGGGGCTGTGCCAACATCCCCAGAGAGCCGGGCACCCTCCTTCCTCCCCATGGGCACCCAGGACAAGCCCCAAGCGTGGATTCACCCAGTAAAGCAAAACCCTTTGGTACGTGTCAGAATATTTCACAGATATTGGAGCAGTCTTCTCAAAACACACAAGGATCACCACACTCTGTACACACGGTACTATTTATGTCCTAGGAAGCAGGCACTGATGTACGGTTTATGGGGCTTTTTAAACCGAGGAGACATGTTTGTTTAATTTAGGCCTTGACCTCAAAGCAAAAAATAGCTAGCTTGAGGCTATTTTCATGAGAAAAAAAAAAAGCCTGGAAGTATGCTAGGGAAATCTTTCAAATCACGTATTTTATTTTCAATTTTGCAAAGACTAAAGTTTCTCTTCATTTGGTTCTACATACTCCTGAACAGGTTTTAAGTATTGAAGGCAAAAACCTTAAAGAACCATCTCCCATCAATGAGATCAAAATATTAGCTGCATTAACCTCCTTTTTACAATGCAGCTATATACAGTTATGTTTTCATAGTAAATGTTTTTAAAAGATGATTTACATTAGGCAAGAATATGTACCTACGTCTGGAGTCAGCATCACTTGAAAATGAGGTGAAGAACCAACACTGATGTATGTACAAAGAGCATTCACATGCTAAAAGACTTCAACCCAAAGCAAAGCTTTCACTGCTTCGTTTACTCCATGTTCTATACGGTATCCTCTATAATGCAAAGTCAACCATTTTTGTTTAAACACTACTTTCCTCAGTCTGTATACACATGCAATTTAATGCATTACTGAAATCCTGCCACAAAACATGGCAATTTCCTCTGTTTACGAAAGGGATGCCAGGAAATTTTTAATTCTAAAATTGGAGATTTGTTATTTAGCACAGCAACTTGGAGATTGCATTTTGTACGATCTAAATCAAGTGAAATGATAGCAAAATAATTCATTTAGATGTCCAAAAAGACATTTAATCCAAACTATAAAGTGACCTAGGAAAAAAGTGACCTCGGAAAAACCCGTTTAACTCCCTACTAGAGCACTGACAGAACTATTTATGGCAAGAACCTTTTTTCTTTAACCTCATTTTTCAAAACTGCTAGACTTTGTGCTCTAACTTTTCAAAACAGATTCAAGATTACTGACCTCCAGTGCTACATCAGAAATATTCATGGTAAGGTCTGGCAACATTAAACAAGTTCATGTGAGCTTATATAGAAGCACTAACAGCTCCCTGGTCTGGAACAGACTCAGAAGCTGCCTGCTGAAGCACTGGACAGAGCGGTTGAGTTCTTACCAACAACAATGACACTAAGTGGCCTTTGCTGTCCCTGTAAAAGCACACCTGAATTTCATAGGGTCATGGAATGGTTTCAGTTAAAGCCCACCCAGTT